GCTACGCCACTGCTGCTCCGAGTACGACTCGAGCGCATGCTGCCACTGCCGGTCGTCGGCCGCAAGCGCATGGGTCGCCCGCGATTGCGGCGGCGGGCGCAGCTTCAAGCGGCGAACCTGGCGCAGCATGGAGCGAGCGATTGGTTTCCAGGATGTTCACGTCCGGATAATTTGACGCGTCGGGTGTTGCGTCAGCACGCCACAAAACCAGTGTTTTATATTCTGTTTGAACCAAACACTGTGTATGCGGAGTGCACGTGAAGTCAACGAAGCACGTCGAAGAAATGCGCGAAGAAGGCGCATGCGTTCCAATGCACGTGTGTACGATGCACTCGAACCTCTGTCGTGCGACGAGGTGTGGAAGAGACAATTCAATGCCCAGGATTGAGATCGAGAGGGTCGAACTGGGACGAGAATGGCGGGGCGCGCAGTAAATATGGCTAAAAGTGGCACACGCCACTAATGAATCTTCAACACCGCCTAGCGCTCGCTGTAGGTCGCGAACGATGACGCGACATCGCATTCCATACTCCCGAAAGTGTCCTCTATCCATAGGCCACGTATGAGCGACAAAGTTTTTCCGCGAGGTTTCGGGATCGGGAGCGCCAGGAATCGCGCCGGGCCATTCTGCTTACGTCGGATTGGTCTAAAAGAGAAAAATAGACGGCGAAATGGCCCCCATTTTAGCCAATCCGATCTCTTGGCGCGGTGGTCAAGCCAACATCGTCACAGTCTCGACGAGCAACCAGCACTATCACCTGGCGCGTCAACGTTGACGGTGGAAGAGGTTGCGAGTACACATAGTAATAGCAACAAGGAATTCAAGATACAGTAGACTGTGTTTACACAATGCCATAGTCATCGTCGTCGTCGTTCACGAGGCTTGGGCGTTCGGCTGCAACGTGGGGGCGGAGGTCGTGCAAAAGCTGGTCGAACGACGTTGTGAACCCGAGGTCCAGCGCAAAATGATGCATCGGCGCGCGCGAGAGCGAGTACATTTGGTTGGGCGGCAGGGCCGTAAACTCCGTGTGCAGCACGACCGGGAAGATCGGCTTGCCCTTGTCTTCGGCGAAGGCGAGCTGGTCGTTGAGCATCTCGTTCTTGGCACTCTTGCTCGAGAGCACGACAATGACGCACGCGCAGCGCAGCATCGCTTCTTTCGCCGCATGCACCCGCGCCGCCATGTCGTTCTTGGTCTTGAGGTCGAGGTAGACAGGCACGCCTTGCGTCGTCGTGAGCTCGTGGTACAGGCGCTTGACAAAGTTGCGGTGGCAGTCGCCGTGGGCGATGAACACGAACTTGGTGTCCTGAAACGTGCTCGGGCTCGTGCCGCTCGGGCTGCTCAAGCCAAACGCAAGGCTGTGGTTCTCGAACGCACCGCCGTTCGTCGGGCTCAGGGTCTCCATGGGCCGCAGCGCCACTTGCTTGCGCTTCTTCTCGACCTCGTCGCGGATCCCGTCGAGGAGGAGGCGGAACTGCGTGTTGTACGCGTCGTCGTTGTACGCGTACGTGATACTGCGCGGGTTTTTCTTGTTGATGGCCGTGATCGCAGGCTCAAACGGCACAATCTGCCGCGTGTAGAGGTACACTTGCAGCTCTTCGTTCAAGCGCACGTGCTCGGTCGAGATGGGCAACACCGGTGTGCCCACTTGCTTGGCGCACGCGAGCTCCTTCAAGCACCACTCGGACTTGGTGTAGTCGTCGGTGAGGATCGCGACAAGAAGCGTCGCGTTCGCAATGCCTTTCGCAATCTCTTCGCGCCAGACCGACCCGCCGCCAATGCCACTCGGGTCCATGGTGTCGAGCCACGCGGTGATGTTGCTCGCCTCGAGCGACTTGCGCAGTTTGAGCGCGAACTCGGCGTGCGAATGCGTGTAGCTGATCATCACATCGCGGTGCCCGGCCGCCGACTTGATGGCGAATTGCAGCGCGGTCGAGGTGGCAATGTCGATCGCTCGGAAACTCGCATTGTTGGTGCACATGATGTTGGCGCCGCAGCTCACCTACAAGAATAGTATATGTCAGTCAACCGAGCGCGGAGTGGACTCGAGCGTACGAGGGAAATCGCGGTTTCTTGCTTCTCGTGCTTGATGGCGAGGTGCAGTGCCGAGTCGCCGTTCGACTTCATTTGGTAGTTAATGTTGGCGCCCTTGGCCACGAGCAACTAGAAGACCACAGACGTGATCCATCCCGCAATTTAGACAAGCACGGCACAATCCGTTGGTAGGATCATAATGTACCTTGAGCAACTCTGGGTCCACACGCTCGGCAAACGCGGCGCAGATGATCGGTGTCATGCCCTTCTTGTCGAGGAGGTTGACGTTGCAATGATGGTCGACGAGGATGCGGACCACGTCGAGCTTGTTGTTGCGCACGGCCCAATGCAGTGGCGAGCGGCCGAGGTCGTCTTGGAAGTCCGGGTCGGCGCCGCCCGCCAGCAGCAGCGAAGCGCACGACCACTGGCCGTTGATCGCTGCCCAGTGCAACGGCGTGCGGCATTTCACGCCAATGTAGCCGTGTTCGCCCAAGCAATTCGGGTCCACTTGCATCTTGAGAAACTGCTGCAACCTACGCCATCGTGTTGGCTTACTTGATACGTTGATACAAACGGCACGTACTTGGTCATGTTGCCGGTCGCGGCCGCCGAGTGCATGGGTGTGAGCGCAACGTCGCTGCCCCAGTCTTCCAGCACGGCGCAGACCGCGTAGTTCTCTCGGAGGTATGCGAGCTCGAGGGCGGTGATGCAGTTGACATATCTAATTGCAATTGTCAATACACCATCCGATAGCAATAAGTTGCCGACCCTGGATCGGGCACGGCGAGGTGGTTGGCGCCCGCCGAGAGCAGAATCTCGACGATTTTCGGGTGCTCGGCGAGGAAGAGGGGCGGGAGGCGGTCCGCCCGGAACGGCGACTGCGACATGATGTTGACATCCACCTTCTTGACCTCGACGAGCCACCGCACGGTCTCGACCTGGGACGTGGCGACCGCGCAGTG